TCAGAAACCACTCTCTTCTGTAATTGCAGCCAATCAGGAGCAGTCTGATGTTTTCTTCTGTTCCGTCTCAAAGACACCTTTTAGGTTTTTCTGTCTTCTCTCCACAAAGGACCAAAACTAAACTCTCACAACATCATTTCTCTCCCAAACCTTTTTTCTTTTTCTTTTGTGAGGTAAACGTTGACTCCATTTTATTCTTCCCAGGAAAAAGGAGAAGATTTTTCATCTTCTTCAGTCACTAACTGGTCAACATTGGTGTGACTTCAGGTCTAACTCTGTAATTCTTGGTCATCCTGTGCAGTATGTCATCAGTATATTTGTAGTACAACTGTAGTAGGGTCTTTATGTAGTGGGTCTTTATATTAAACTGTAATGGGGGGGGGGTATTTGTGAGTGATTTATGTATCACCCACATTTTACTTTAGTTCACATATATATATATAAATAAAATGTTGATTATTAAAATATAAAATTGAATACGACATTTATGTTTACCTCCTCCAAAAACTGTTCCACCATTATTTTACAACAATTCATGGAAACTTAAGGTTCCGACGTCAAAGACTATGCTGATGATACGACACGTTCGTCTAAGAAAAACAGAGTCTTATGTAAAGAGAAAACACTTCACTAGAGCCACCAGCAGGGCAGAGCGCCAGGAGACAGGAGTGGAATCAATCACAGAAAAGGAGGGAAAAAATGGAGTGTTGACGCACAGAAAAGACAGGATAAAGAAGAACATCTCCAAACATAGCAGTACGTCAGGGGCAGGGGGGGGGGGGGGGGGGGGCATTTAGCAGATGGCTGATATTAATTAGCCACTGGGTGAGATCCAGATCTACTGACTGATTTGATGCTCAATATGTTGGATACGGTGCACAGTTCCTTTCCTTCCCCAAGGTCAGTGTCTCCATCTTCATGGTGGAGCAACAGAACGTACGGCAACAGTAGAAGATGGAGTTGGATGATGGAGATGATGAAGAAGATGATGATGATGATGGAGATGATGAAGATGATGGAGAAGATAGAGATGACGAAGAAGATGATGATGATGATGGAGATAATGAAGATGATGGAGAAGATAGAGATGATGAAGAAGATGATGAAGATGATGGAGATGATGGAGATGATGGAGATGATGAAGAAGATGATGAAGATGATGGAGATGATGGAGATGATGGAGATGATGAAGAAGATGATGAAGAAGATGGAGATGATGGAGATGAAGTCTTCTACTGATGTTCTCCAATCCTACAGAGTTCTAATCCAATCTGCTGCTGACTTCATAAGTGACAAGCTCAACATCTTAGCTTGTGACCTTTGACCTTGGCACCTTTGTGCTGGACTAGTGTGAATGACAGTTTGGTTCTTCTGGTTGTGGACCACTCCAGCCTGTATCAGTTCCAGTTCATTCCAACAACACTAACATCCCACACAAATACCCACAACAACTGGGGTATTAAGTATTTAGAGCAGAATCACTGACATCCAGGCGTGAACTGGTGCAGAGTCACTCAGCAGTAACTGGGATTACTGGGATTATCCCAGTAATCTGGGACAGACTCCAGATGGATCAGGAAAAACACTGTTGTCTGTGTTTAGAAACATGAAGTCAGTAACTAACCCTAACTAACTCTAACCCTGGACTGTTCAAATATAACCAGCTTAATTAACCAGGCTTAAAGACTCTTAGGTCATGTTTGCCCTGGTATTAAGGGGGGGGTCAGTCTACAACAGGGGCAACAGGGGCAACAGGGGTAACAGGGGCAACAGGGCATCCAGACGAGGTCCCACACTGACGGTGACTCTTCGTCCACGCTCAGAGCTGGTTATGTTAGCAGATGTCATGGAGAATAAACAGGGTTTGCGTCACACGTGTTGTGGTTGAAGAGCAGCAGACGTTTTTAATTTACACACGTTATAGGAATTTAAAGTGAATAAATACTTGATTTACGTTGCACCAAATGGACTCCAATCTGGGAATAAAAGCCTGGTTTTCTGTGAAACCTCCAGCTCCACTAAATAAAGGTTTGGTCTCAACCATCCCTGTACACGACGACCTGCAGAGGCAGAGGTCACAGAGGTCAGACCTGCTTATTTATTTCCATGGGGTCACTGATGTGACCTTAGTGTGGTCTGGTCCTGTCCATGTTCTATTATTAAGAAAAAGCCTCTTATCGTTAGATCAGACTTAGACCACGCCCCCAAACCACCACAAAGATTTTTGTTTTCATATAAAATGTATAATACTGTATATTTACGCTGCTCTGTTGACACAACCAACAACCATCAACAACAACAACAACAACAACAACAACAAGATTTTCCACATTCACGGTCTGTAAAATGGGAATATCAACAAACTCCCCCTGAAANNNNGATGGGGGTGGAGGAGATCAGGGGGGGGGTGGTCACACCCTGGACGGTTCATCGGTTCCTCAGAGGGAAAATAAAGAGACAAACAACCTTTGGTTGGTTTAAGGTGAACTGTATCCTGCTTGATTTGGAACTGGTGATAAAAACAGTACCTGGTGAGACCTAACTAACTGAGAACTAACTAACTGACTGTTAGTTAGTTCTGAGAACTAACTAACTAACTAACTGAGACCTAACTAACTGGGAACGAACTAACTAACTGAGACCTAACTAACTGAGAATTAACTAACTGAGAACTAACAAACTAACTGAGAACTAACTAACTGAGAACTAACTGAGACCTAACTAACTGAGAACTAACTAACTGAGAACTAACAAACTAACTGAGAAGTAACTGAACTAACTGAGACCTAACTAACTAACTGAGACCTAACTAACTAACTGAGACCTAACTAACTAACTGAGACCTAACTAACTAACTGAGACCTAACTAACTAACTGAGTGCAGACCGTCTTCAGGTCTGGACATCTGGCCTGACCACGACTTTCACAGTGCCTGGTTTTCTGTTTTCATCCGTGTTGTCATCATGACGGAGAGTCTCAAACTAACTAACTAACTAACTAACTAACTAACTAACTAACTAACTAACGGTTCGTCACAGGAGGAGGTCCTCAGGGAGTCCTCCTCCTCCTCCTTCTCCTTCACTTTCTCCTCCACGGTGAACCACAGGAGTCAGTCCTAAAGCCTCGGTGTCCACCTGGAGCTGGACTCTGCTGTTCTCTTATTGTCTTATTGTCTTATTGTCTTGACTCTGCCGTGGTTTTACACCAGAGGTGGGAGGCAAAGAGCAGCGCGATGATTGGACGGCAGCTTCCCAGGGATTAGAAAGACGGTTCCTGGTACTTCTGTCCCTGTAGCAGTGTCTCCACCTCAGTCCACGGTGTCCCACAGCCAGTGTCCCACAGCGGTCAGCGAGGTTTACACGACTGTCCTCGGTATTAACTTTCGATGTTGTTACAGAACCCATCTGCAGTAACAGGCCACGCCTCCGAGTGTTTATCCAATCACAAGGTTCTGTTTCATTTTCAGGTCAGAGCTTCCACACCAGGGATTGTGGGACATTTCCACTGGTGTTTTCTGAGAGCGTTGAGTAAACAGGATCATCACACACTGTCATGCTCACATACCGACTCTCACCCCCCCCCCCCCCCCCCCACTGCACACCCTTTATGAGTCAGACACGTTTTTCCTGAGATGCTGAGAGATTTGACCTTTGTCTGACTTTTAGACATTTAACTTCAATCTGGTTTGAAATATCACCGTGTCCATTCACAGGAAACACCACAAAGTTTAACAGTTAATAGTTTGAAACCAAAGAGCAGGAGTGTCGTTGAAAACACACCGTGCAGCGACGGTCCCTGTAAGGTCTGCATTATTGATGTCGACAGGAGACTTTAACTCTTCTTACGTTGACAGCACTGCTGATGGATTTACTCTCTGGGCTTTGGAAAATTCACTGGGTCACTGTTTGGAATTTTTGTTTTTGAAAAACGACAACATAAAGAAGAAAAGAATTCCTTGTCAAACATCATTGGGTTTTTTTTTTTTCAGCTGCACCAGAATGTTTCGTTCAAAGATACTGAAATATACTGAGTTGTTTTGTGACTAATGAGCTCCAACTATTCATCAACCTGAGTCCAATGTTTCAGCTGAGTTCAATCAGCTCCAGTGAAGTTCATCACTGACTATACTGTGTCTGTGTCTGTGTCTGTGTCTGTGTCTGTGTCTGAGGAGAGTTTCACTCCTGAACAGAAAACTGTGGATCAACACCTCCTTACAACGTACGCTGTAAAACCTAGTCTTTAAGCACAAGTAAATAAAATACATTGGTGACCACGGAGTCCAAACCAACTCTGAGTCAAGTCGAGTCGGTGCAGCTGAACGTACGTCAGAACCTGACGACGACCAAAGCGGAGCAGGGAGAACCACGAGGAGACGTCACTGGACCAGCTGGGATCACAGTATTAGAGTGTAAAAATACTAATAATCAGTCAGGATTTCACACACACTGAGGGAAAGCACTGGAAAAACTAGAGCAAACATTTCAGCCCCTCCCCCAATAAAAGCCACGCCCACGGTTCATATATCTCTGGACCAGTGATCAAATAAACATCGACTTTCCACAGACGTGAAACAATGGTCAGGGTTTATTCCTGAAGTCTGCTTTATATCTAGGCCAATAAAAAGAGCTGGCAACATTTGGTTTTTCTGGAGTTGAACCCTGTTTTATAAATGGGCTCAGACCCGTTTCACAGCACCACTGACAGATCAGCACCGCGCCGTTCTCTCTGCTGTGACTCCTGGATGGAGTCGGTTTCAAATCATTTCAAAACAAAAGCTGTGAAGTTTGTTGAAGTGAAATGAATGGATCGACGCCACTTCTTCACCCAAACACACGGCTCTCTGACAAATCCTTTTACCGTTTCCTAAAACCCAGTTCAGCCACATCTAACTGTGCGTTCGTTATACAGCCTCAGCAGAACGGCTGTTGTAAAAACACTAAGTCAATTTCCAGCCCAGAGTGGGCAGCAGGGAAACAGTCTGACCTCGGTGTCACACTCACCGCTGGAAACGTGCACGCCTCCAAACAGCTTTTCCCTGTTGATAAACACACACTTGTGTTTGGTTATGTTTTGTCATGATTTATTGCACATTCTTCATAAACAGGCAGGCTAATGACTGCAGAATATTACAAACACTGTCAGAATTGTGTAAGAGCCGGGTCTTAAACACACAACAACACACACTCTCATCAACCAGAGGAAAGAAAACGCATGCTCCCACATGCATTCACTCTGGCTCTAACACACAAACACATACATGTTTGGGCTCCTCCCAGACACACACACACACACACACACCACTACACGATGATCTAAAGTCAATGATGCTCGGCTGCCTGAAGGAAGACGGCAGGAAAAAAAAAAAAAAGACAAATCAATAATTGAAACTGGATGCGGCCCGTGATGCATTTATCACAGCGTGGTTTTGGTTTTGTGACAGAACGGTCCACATCACCGCGGCACATTGAAAAAAACATTTGCATGTCTATTACTGGGGCATGGAGTATCAGTGTGTCAATACCAGCCATTAACGTCGCCCCCACCAGAGGAGGAGTGGGATCGCATGAGGTCACCGTCTGCCCCATAATGCAACAGTATCGGAGGACGGTCCTGCCCACCAGCCTGGACGCAGGACGTTATGATATGACGGATGACAATGGGCTGGAGAGCGCTCCTCTCCGGCCTCGGCCTGGTGTGAGGGTCAGTGTGCTGCACTGGTGCAGTGTGTAGCTACAAGCTAAAAGAGCTGAGGTCAAATCAATGGCTGTGCTGCTTCCAGCGATGCAAAAAGATTTACTGTTGAGCCTCGAAGCGAAGCTGAAGGTCTAATTTAACTAAGCACATGCAGTGGCCCCGCGGTGATCCTCATGACATCAGACTCCCTGGACCATTATTCCCAGTCCGTCCTAAATCGCCTCTGGCGTTCACTTTTAACACAGAAGCAGGGAGTGTGGCTAATAGTCACCACTTTGAAGCTATTTCCATTAGCTCTTGATTCATTGTAATTTAGCTTTAAATAATCTGGATATGAAGATCCTGCAATTAGTGATTTTAATATATATATATATATAAATAATTACAGTTATGTCACATCACATTTCCATGAGGAATATCAATAATTCCCAACTGTGACTATTTAAAATGAGTAGCCTACGGCTAACCTTTCAAAGACGTCACAATCATTGATTTCCATGGTACGATCATTGTCAGAACATTTATCACGTTTATTATGCAGTGATTGATTCCGTGACACTATAAATGTGTCAAATCACATGAACACTCCTTTTGGCCTTAAAGTTTCCTTCATTTCTATATGTTGAAGCCGACATAACACAAATATATATATCAACAAAGTGAAGTAACAACAAAGAAAAATGACAATAATTCCACAGTATAATTAAGTAAAATCTGTAAAAATAAAACATAAAGTTCTACAAATGTACTGTCAGAGGAAACAGGTGTGGAGGCTACAGCAGCGCCACCTGTCTGTAAAACCAATCTATTTCTCCCATCTAGTATTTTAATCTGGTATTTATAATCTTGAATTAAAATGACAAAGACAGATTAGTAATAAATGATGCGGTCACAGCACCGGAAGCTGCGGCCCAACGGTCAGTCACTGATGGGAGAAACTGAAGGAGCTAATGCTAATGCTAACTGTTACTGCACACCGACACTCAAACTGTCACTCAAACTGACAAACAAACAAACAACAACAAAAAACTACGTTACATGCTGTGCTATGTTACAGTACAATGTACAATGTAACGTTAGGTCAATGTCCGGTAACGTGTGACGTTGGGTTGGAAACCGAACCCCGTGTCGTATTCGTATAAAAGTAACATTTAATGTAACGTTAGGAAAACTGACGTAATTTAACGCAGTTCCGGTGTTTTTACCTTTTCTTTGGCGAACACTGTCGGTGGTTGTTGGTTCCCGCAGGTCATGAAACATGTTCCATATATTTCCTCCTTTCACCGCTTTTTTTTCAAGGCATGATTTAAACGCCGACAGCCGCCGTCCACGACGACATCCGGGTCTTTTCTGAAGCCAAAATCAATAATCAATCCCACACGGATGATTTACTGCGCTTGTCGAGGGACCAACTCTTCTGCTGCCACTTTAACCCAGACTACGATGCGAGGTTAGCGGATTTACGAGGGACTGTGAGTTCCTGTTCTAACTCGGCTACATCACGCTCACCTGTGCTTGGTTCGTTACCCGATCCCGACCAGGTCATTCCATCTTAAACTCGGCTTCAAAGGGGACTAGTTAAGGCTGCGTAGTTACACACTAAACTAAAGCTACTAAAGATAACATATGTATGATACATAGGTTTTCAGTAAAACACAATTAAATTTTATAATTGAAATCAGTAAAACGTATGGAATTAATTAATATCAAAAATGAAAACCCTGAGGTCACGATATGATACTAATCGGTAACTAGAACTTTATGAATCCCCCAGAGTTAGCTTTGTGAAATTACACGATCAGCATTTTCTGCAGCTCTCCTCCGTGTGCCTGTTGGTGGCGACAGCGTTGCTCTTGGCAGCGACCGTCTTTTTATAGTCAGAAGTTGATTATTGTGACGTTAATCTCCCCCTTTAATGTGAACGTGCACAGATCGTAAAGAACCAGACTTACAAAAACAAGTTCATAACCGCTGTCGCAGAACCGTTCAACTTTATTTGGGGACTCGGAACACAAAGTCAGACTATGTTGAGCTTCACTGACATCACTGACGTTCACTGACGTTCTGCTCAGAACTTTCAGGGAACGTGAGTGGACAAAGTGTTGAACAACCAAATAAGCGACAGTGATCTTCAAAGGCACCAGCAGCTCAAGGCTGGACTCGTTCTCAGAGCAGCGTTTCTCTGTGTTCCTGTTAATATTGACAGACAAAGAGACAGAACAGAACCATTTGTCACAAACGCTCCAACAAACAGGGAGGAGGGGGGTGAGGAGGGGGTGAGGAGGGAGGGGAGGGGAGGGGAGGGTGAGGTAACACCGCGGCTGCTCTCTGGAGTGAGACGGAAGGCATTAGTCAGATTGGACCAACAAAGAGGCTGCAGCCCACAGTCCAGGGATTAGACCCACAGCCCAGACTTTCATTAGTCCGTACAAAGAGGACGGCTGAAGACGGAGCAGTTGGCAAGAAAATTGTAAAGATGGGGATGAGCAGTGAGATACAGGAAGATAAAGAAAAGGAGACGACTTAGAACACTGCTCCAGTGGATTAACCCGATCCCAAGAACTTTCATTAGACGGGATATAATGGACCAAGGCTGAGAACGGGGGAGGCAGAGAATGGAGATGAGGGAGAGAGGTGGGAGAGCAGAGGAGGAAACTCAAAATAAAAAGAAAAAAAATAGGTATTCAAACATGAAAGGATCCCAGAACATTAGCCTTGTCCTCAGGAAAGGGGACTAGAACTAACGACTGGAACCAGGAGGCTGGACCTGGGTCGTTTTAAAGAATCTTTTTACCAACGTCACATGACACACACTCTGACCTTTGGGGATATTAAAAGATATAACACGTGTGTGTGTGTGTGTGTGTGTGTCACGAGCCTCTGCTCCATCAGTTGGCCAATGACTGACCAGGACATGGACGCCTCTGTGCAGGCACATGGTCATGACACGAACTACAGTGAAAAGGTTTCAGGTGTGTGTGTGTGTGTGTCCCAGTGTGTGCGTGTGTGTCCCAGTGTGTGTGTGTGTGTGGCTGCGTCTGCACTCTGAGTGTGACAAATGAAACGTCCATCTCACCAAGACAGTCAATCCACACCAGACAATCACTGACCGTTTCTTTCACCATTTACCAACAACATTTACTGACCGACCGTCGGACGACTCCTTTCATTCATCAGCCTAATTCAAACCAGCAAAGACAGTTGTTACTGATTAATCTATTGGTTTCCTACATGATTGACTGTGGATCAGACTCTGAGGGAAAGTCAAGAATCAGAGAATCAGAGACTGCAGTGTCACTGTACACACTGTGTACTACTGCACAACAGTACACACTGTTGTACTAGCACTACTGCTACTGTGACATGTACAACAGTACACACTGTTGTACTAGCACTACTACTACTTCAACATGTACACCGTGTACACACTGTTGTACTAGCACCACTACTACTTCTACATGTACACCGTGTACACACTAGACTATACTTGAATGTACTATATGATACGGTGGGATATTGAGAGACGATGTGATACTATACTGTAGTACACTGTACTCTGTCATGTTGTACTAGACTGTACTGCACTGACCTCTGGTCCTAGACTTGATATATTACGACTGTAATACCAAACTTGTCCAGACGGTGTAAGACCCTAATGTGAAGAGTTTTAGTCTTTGTGTTTGTGAGGATTTGAAGTTTGTGAATGAACTCAGTGGGAAGTGACCGTCAACTGACAGGTGAGACAAGGATGTCAGGAATTAGAGCTGCACTGACAAAATGTCCCTTCAGTCCTGGGAGGTCGGAGACAGAAATGACTGTTGTCCAGTGACACGTCGTTTCTTTCCAACTTATTCTGGACAGAAACGACAGTGAAAGTCTTTGAGGCTCGGAGCTGACCAGACTGGACAGCACCGACGCCCCCTCCAGGCCTCACAGCTAACTGACCTTGACAAAGAGACATTTAGTGGCTAATGAAACTCCTGCTGAGGATCTCAGAGACCAGAGGGTTCACATCAGAGCAGATACTTCAAAGGAAGTCCACTCCCTTTGTCTTCACAGGGTTCTCTTTGAATCAACTGTTTAAAAGTTACTGATAGGTGACAAAGTTGTTATTCAGAAGTGACGCTCGTTTGGGGCAAATAAGAACTCACAAAAGTGCATCAAGGACCACCAACTGGGGGGGGCAGTATGGGGGGGGTTTTAGTCTTACACGCGTCTCTACTTCCTGCGAGCGTCTCTACTTCCTGCGAGCGTCAGGCTCTTTGAACGCCAACCCACGAGAAAAGAACTAAATCTGAACTAAAAACAAAAGAATCACAACAACAACAACAACAACAACAATAATTCAAGTCATTCTTCTTGTCTGACAAAGCCCGCTGTGCGCATCAGGGTGGGAGGGGCTAAAGTGTCTCCGCCCCTTTTCCTGGATTTCAATGCCTTGGACAAAGGTCTCATTTCATGAGTACAGTACTTCAAGAACAGAAAAATAAAAACAACAACAAATCTTTCAAGCTCTGTGAGAGTTGAGTCTGTCTGCCTGTCCTCCACAGGACGCCTCCTGACCAATGAGAGGTGAGGAGGAGGAGGAGGGGGGGGAGGGGGGGGGGGAGGAGGAGGAGGGGGAGGAGGGGGAGCAGGAGGAGCAGGAGGAGGAGCAGGAGGAGGAGGAGCAGGAGTCCTGACTGTGCAGGACGTTCCTGTTTCCTGTTTCCAAACTGCTGAGATAACGAGCCAAGTTTCTGACTGATGACTTTTATTCATCTACAAAGAGGAGTTCTGACTGAAGGAGATCAGAGGGAACAGAGTTCCACTGAGAACAGAGCAGGAACGACGCCATCGTTGGCTCCGAGCTGCTCCTCCGTCCTCGGGTTAACGCCGCCCTGCACTACCGTTCAGATGACGCCTTGAACGCAGCGCCAGATGTTGTCTTTGTCATCATGTGTTTTTAATCACGGCAGCAGCAGCTTCTCCCAGTCCACTGCTCCACCGGTTTACCTGTCGTATCAATCACTGCAAACTGGAGCCACGCTGCTGTCACAGGTGTCCAGAACTACAGACGCCACAGGGACATGAACAACAGACCAGTCCAGTCAGGACTGGTCCAGTCCAGAACAGTCCAGACTGGTCCAGACTGGTCCAGGTGTCCAGAACTACAGACGCCACAGGGACATGAACAACAGACCAGTCCAGTCCAGTTCAGAACAGTCCATTCTAGGAGTCGAAGAATTCGTCCAGACAATGTTAGATCTAAAGGAGGAAAAAAGAACCCCCGCAGGACGAATCTGGAACTGCAGAAGCTCCAATATTGACATGACTAAAACACTGACACTGACACTGACACTGACAGTCTGTGAATAATCTAAAATAAAGATGTACATTTGGGTTTGTTTTACTGACTGAATTACTGACTGTTTGACTGACTGTTTTACTGACTGAATTACTGACTGATTTACCAAGTGTTTTCCGACTGTGACTTTTTCAAAAATGAACTCATAAAAGTAAAGAAAACCACATGGATCCTTAAATCCTCCTCCTCCTCCTCCTCCT